TTTCCCTAACTCCACAAGTTGTTCTTCCATCTTTTCTATCTAAATTGGATTACATTCCCCACTTGGTTTTGGTCTTGCTATGTTCATCCTTTCTTCAATCATCTTGACAACTAGGCTTATTGAATTGTATTTCCAAGATTCATTGATTCCCTTCATATTTCAACTTCATAGGGGGAACCACCTTTAAAGATTCTTTGTAACATTCTTTAGCTTTTTTTCCTAATCTTCTCATAACATCACCACATGCATATCACCACTTAGAAATTTCACAGTTAGGTGAGACATAGAAATAATGGCTCATAATCCTATCAATGTTGATCCCTTGGTATTATATGAAGAAGTAGAGTCCACTATATAAAATGGATAATTTCAATTTTAGTGGTGGGAGCCTTTTTGATTTATCATATCCTATAGGCGTGACATGGTGTCTTGGAAACCTTATCAAGTCTCTATGATGAGCCATAAATTATTATATAGGAATTTTCAACTTCTTAAACAAGTCATAAAACATAGTATCAGTTGAATTCTTGACCCCCATGAACAACCTCAATTTGTACCCCCTTATTTACAATGAGAGCTTATGCCAAAAATTGATCATCCTGATTCAACAATATCAAGCGTAAGTCATAGTCATCAAATCACTATTGATAGCCAATTTTGTTTGAGACATTCAAGCAAAACAAGGGACCACTAAAACAAGACAAAAGGTCCTTGAAGGCACAATATGACATTAGAATGGACCAGAATAGCATTAGAAGGCCTAGAATCTCAAAAAGGCCAAATTAAGAGCCCGAAACAGATCGTTCCCAATTTGGAACAGATCGTTCCAAACCACCAAAAAGGCATAAAATTCCTAGGTCAAAACAGGCCATTCCCAATCTGGAATGCGTCGTTTTGACCCTGGTTGTTATGAACAAAATAGTAATTTGGAATGGGTCATTTCGATTTTGAAACGGGTCATTCCAAATTCAAATTTTGGCCCTAACAAACCAATTCAGAATGACTTGTTCCACTGACCAAAATGACCGTTCCAGTTGGGATTAGATGTCTATAAATAGGAGTCTTGTGCACAGTGCAAAAGGTCTAAGTTGGGGACAAAAAAAATTTCCATCTTTGACCCATTTTCTATAGTCTTAGCTCAAAAATCTCTTTCCCTCTATCTTTTGTATTTTTTGATGCCACATTTAAAGGAAGAATTCAAAAAAAGCTTGCTTTAGAGGTATTTTCAGTAATTCCCATCTCTCTCTTTTATTTAAATTGCTTTATATACATGACTTTGCCATAACTAATCAGTAATCATGTAGACATACCATTTTCAAATGTGTGGGGCCTAAATCCCTTTTTTTATATAAGTAATCGTAAATTAAAATAACATGTAAATAATCACTAAAAAGGGGAATAAATATTCAAACTATTATTCTTTCTTATGCTAACTTCATCATAAGGTACTAATTTATAGCGTTATAGGGTACCTAATACCTTCTCTACACGTAATCTAACCCCAACCCAATTTTGGCTATGTAGGCCATTATGGTCATTTTAAAAATCTTTTCTTTTTTCGATGTTTTGAGTAAAATATCGGTGGCAACTCATTCGAACTATTTTCTAAAACTATTGATTAGGGATTAGTCTGGTTTCTGGACATTTTCTAATCGATGAAATTTTCAAAATGGAAGTTAAAATCATCTATGGGAAAGATCAAAATTTTTTGGGTTTCGACAGATAACGACTCCACTAGAAAAGCTTAAAGAGGGTCAGGTCCAATAAATGATGAAATTAGTAATATAAAAATAATAGTTCAAATATATTTTCCCCTTTACCTTGCTTGTTTTACATGTAAATACTTATTTGTTTGGCTTTGATATCTATATGTTTGTTTAAATTTCAAATTTGTTTGAAATAAACAATTGTATACAAACCTTTGCCCACAACAGTTCCCCCTACACCCGAGGGCATGAGCGTATAAACTATAGGGAGTGGTTGACATATGGTCGACCCAAGAATGGCCTTAAGCCTCCAAGTCTTGTCA